TTGTTAACAGCAGATAAGCATCTAAACCGATTAGAAACTTCTAAATCCGAGTAGCACCTCCTGTACCTGTCACCTGCACACCAGTGAGCATCCACAAAGCTTGAGAGTGGTTTGAGTAATCAACTGAAGGCTGATCTGCATGGGGTTTAATTGTTTTTATTCAAAAGCAGATCAACAATAAGTTTGCAACAACAATTGCCATCCCAAAGACAGCTTCCCATTAGCAGTTTCTAACTTTCAAATACCAGATTAAAAAATATAATTGCTCAAGTAAGACAAACCAGCACTACATTCAGGATACAGGGCATTCAGCAGCAGCTCTCCTTAAATTCAGTTAAAAGAATTCCATCCTTTCCCAGGCCATGAATTCCCATATTTGCGTGTGTTACATTATGTATAACCCTGAAGACAATCAAACAGAAAAGGTTATTTCTCAACTCGCTTAGTTCCTCACTTCAGTTCATGACCCAGCTGCACAAACAGCTACACCAGCACAAGGGGGGGAGCACAGACACCGCTTCAGCCTCCGAACTGCCCCGGGATGCAGCAGGATGCTCCCGGCAGCAAACGCGGGCAGGAGCCTGCGCATCCCACAGCACGCACACCTCGGTGGGGCACACAAACCTTCAACCACACCGCAAACTCTCCTGTAAATCCCATACCAATACGCAGGTTGTCTGCCGGCTCATAAACCACTGAGCCTCGGGGAATTACCCTTTTATGGGAAAATTAGTCATTCCCAGCCACAAGTCAAGATTTCTTGCTCATTTGATCCAGATAGCTGGCTTACAATTGAAGGGATTTGGTCAATTCACTCTCAAGACTAGCTCTTCTGAGCGTGCTTAAGATGAAGCAGCTGCTAAATTTCAGAAGTTATTTACAAAGACGAACAAAACTGTCTCCAAATTAAATGCTTTTCAATTGTTACTGTTGTATTTCTCCCAAACAACAAAGCTTTCTTAACCAACTGCTGATGGAAACTGTTTAATCAATTCTCCCATGAAAACTCTCAGCACCGCACCCATCACACACAGGGATTCTTTTCCTTACTTAAATGCTAATTGCCTCTCACGAGGCACCAATTCAATCATTCTTCTGCACAGTTCATCACGAGACAGTTTAATGATCCAGCCTTTTCACTGGGTTTTACACGATCTGGAAACTGGGGGAGGTTTATACTGAGGCACTTTTGAAATCCTAAAAGGCTCAAGGAAATCAGTGAGGAAGATACAGGCGAAGAGCAGGATCGAGTCCCAGGAACCTGTCAGTGCTTCCTATGTAAAAGCAAAATGTGACTGGACAGGTCTGACATTTATTCCACACTTTTGGTCGGTGACGTCTTCACTCTATGCTAAAACGACAGGAAGAGCCTGTATTTCATTATACCATCATCATCATCATCTTTTCTTTCTTTGTTGCTGTTTTTTAAGCACATGGAGGGTGCTTGCTTACATAAAGGGAAACAACAGTGAACGGATAAAAAAATCTAAATATATCTCTGTGACATAAATATATGTCAGAACACATTAGGAATTTTTGTGAACCGCACTCACAGGCACAAATTCTTCTCCAAACCACATGAAGCACTGTCCCGTGCAGGGCCAGGAGTTGGACTCCAATGATCCCTGTGGGGATCCCTGTTCCAACTATGATTCCATAATAAGCACTCACATGAACACAGCCCATGACACACCAGAAACATCAAACACTAACCCCATGACTGCACATGCACCCAACCACCCATCCTTCTTTCTAAATTAACTGTTAACATTCTGGTTAAAAATGTATTAGGGACTAATACTGCATATATCTGGAAAAAAAAAATAAAGTTTGAATTTAAAAAGTAAATTCATGCCTATTTGCTTCAAAATTACTGCTGTATTTCTACCACAGAGTAATAGAAAATGTAATAAGGAGATATATTAAGAAAAAAATCCCAAACCAACAACCTGTGAATGGGACAAAGACGGTTTCAAGCTTTTGGAAGGCAATCAATCCTAATGGCCTTCAAGAAACATTAACATGAACACCAGAAGTTAAAATTCTCATTATTTTGACGAAATATATGTTTTTCCTATATTCTGTGCTTTTTACAGAAAACGTCTTGCCATAATAAGTTCACTCTTGCCAATATCTTCCATCCACCCTGCCTTTGGCCTATTCTTGACAAGTTGGAGAATTACACACTTTAAGCTCTACCAACCAGAAACCTTCCAGCCTCTACTATGCAGACTGCAAATTCTTCAAAAAGAAGCAATTTACGGTTTTATTACTGCAGGAAATGTAACCAAATCCACTAAAAGACAAAGATCTGGAATGTCAACCTGGTGCATTTCCCACAGAGCTGCTTTAGTCACTTGGCAGCACAAGTCTGACAGCACACAGGAAAAGTCCACCAAGTAACCAGCTCTGAGAAGTTTCGCAACCTGCCTGAAGTCAAGATTTTGCAAGATCATCTGACACATTTGTCAAAAACTCAGTGATCTGTGGAGAAAGAACAAGTTACCAAAGAGCTTGGTTGAGGATTTGAATTGATACTGCTCAATATTTTCCCTGTCCCCTGGTTAATTTGGAGCAATATGACCATACAGGTTTTGGTCAAGTGCATGGATCAGTGACAAGCCAGCGCTGCCTCCTGGCTGCTGTGATCCTGACAATATTGGCTGTGGTAGGAGACACGATCACATCCTATGTTTCAAACATGATCAGCACTGACACAGCCTTTTGTCACCACCATTTTTCCCTCCTTCAAGTGGATTTACACAGCCAACAGAAAAATCACTGTCAGAGCTGTATCCACTGTGAATACAGCTGCACCAGGTGGCAGTAAAATGACAATTCCTCAGAGTCTCAGCACTCACAAGTCGCCATGGAGCAGCACTCCTCTTAAAGACTTGGTTCTCCAAGGAATCTCTGCCAGGGTAGGCAAGAACTTGAAGACTCATATCCTCCTTTCCCCCCCCACCATATACTCTGTGACTTATTCATACAGACAATTGCCCAGATTTGCCAGCACAGAATGACACCACTTTATCCACTCTCATTTCTCATCAAACACTGCTTTCTCTCTGAGCAAACACCACTGCTCCACTGATCTCCTCAGCAGCATCTTCATTGCCCAGAAGTATTTAAAAAAATTCAGGATCAGCTTCCAGGCAATAATAATAATTTTTCTGACTACCAGTGACACTGTGTTCGTTAGGAACAATCTCTGGGGAGATTAGTGAGCTTTACCTATTATGAAACAGGGCATCAGACAGCCAGCTAGCACTCCCAGCCATCTAAAGCATGACCTTCAAAAACAAGTCCTTTCAGCAGTGCTACCTTGCTGCATTTTCCTCATCGTGGGGAAAAGAAAGGAGCACAAATACAAGCAAAACCCCTATACAAGTAACAAGGCGACAGAATTACTTTAATACATTCTATTTTTTTATGCTCTATCCATAGGTTCCCTACAGCCATACAGGTCAATACTGCACAACATCTCCTGGAGAAAGTCACACGTCCAAAGCAAGCAGCAAAACCAGGGTTTCTTTTAACCCAAAATATTTTGACTCCATCTGACAATACTATATTTTTAGGTACAAGACAAAGATTCTGTATTTCAATCCATCTCCACAGCAGTATTGGTTTTTTAAAGACATCTATCTTCTCGAATTGTTTACAGCCCCAGGAAGAAGGAAAAAAAAAAAAATAACCCAACTCAAACCATTACAAATTAAATCTGCCGAATGAGAAAAGCCGATTCTCCGTTTCGTTTCCTCCACGCATTTCGTAACAATTCAGCGCTCATTCAACTCCTCCGGTGGATTATCAGGCATCACGGCCGGTTCCCCCCCGGCGGCAGGGCAGCCTCTGCCAGCAGCCTGGGCTCTCCAGCCGAACCGAAGCGAAGCGAAGCCCGATCGTGCCAGCCAGCCGAGTGTCATCTGCCGCCCCCGCCCCACCCTCCGCACACGCCCGCGGTGACAGCACCCGAGCCTGCCGCCAAAGCGGAACTGCAAGAAGAACACGAAACGGCTTTGAGCAGCTTGGGAAGAGAACTGGATGCGGGGCTGTCTCTCTCTTTGAGACGGTGAGCAATAATTTACCAGAAATTTCCTCAAAGGACAACGCTATAATCATGTTTCCTCAGTAACTCGCAGATGACATGTCCAGCATGTAATTTTGTGCACGCATCTTTCCACGGCCAGACTAAACTTCTTCTGTGCCCAAACCGAATCTTTCTGTCCAAAATATATTAAAATTAAAAAAAAAAAAAAAAAAAAAAAAAAAAAAGGAGGGAGGAGGGAAGGAGAAAACCCCAGAAAACCCCACAAGGAAAAAGAAAACAACAACCAAACCACGTAAGCTCTTATTTTGCATAGTTAAAACTAACCATGAGTATTTAATAATCAACCCCAATAGGACTGAGCATTTTGGGAAGTCGGATTAAAGGGTTACTCAACTAACTTTCACCACAAATTTTTGCAGGATGACTAATGAGTCGCGAGCTGCAGTTTAGCCACAATCCCTGCGAGTAACCTGAAGTCCCCTCCTGACGGGGCACAGGATGTGTCAGGAAGTTTGACGGAAAAAGCATCACCTCGTGAAGGAGCACATATATTCAGGCGAACTCCAGCAAAAATACCACTTTCTCCCCTTTCAGGTCCACCACAGCCCATACTTCAGTGCCACTGCTTCAGCACTACACTGTCTAGAATCCCGACGCGGATGTTAATAATTAACCTGCTGGGTCGCAGCGGGCTAATGAGGTGAGCCCAGGAGCGCTGCGAGTGTCCCCGCTCCGCCACCGCCGCCCTGTGTCCCTCCCCTCCAGCCAAGGAGCGGACTGCAGCGGCTCCCGGCACTGCCGCAGCCCCACGGCTCGGGCTTTCTCCGGAAAAACCTCACGGCTCCGGCAGCACCGAACGCCGCCTCCCCACGGTTAAATGAACAAACTAAAATAAAATCTAAAAAAAAATTAAAAAAAAAAAAATAAAAAGCGAGGACAAACATACGGTGGGCTGAGCTGGCCTGACTTTCATCCCTGCCCAGCAGACTGCGCCTCTCTCCGCCGTGCTCCCGCCGCTCTGGCTGCAACATGTGCCGGCTGCCCGCGCTGCCGGGACTCCGCGCCCGCGTGCTGCGACCCCACCCTGCCGCCGCCTGTCACCTCCCAGCCGGGGAAGGGAAAAGCCCAGCCCTAAAACACCCCCGGCTTTACGTCTCCGGCCGTTCGCCCCCCGCGCCGCCAGCTCACAGCGGTCACCACGCAAACAAGCGAGAGGCGACGGGGAAGGAAAACCTCAAACGGGGCTTTTCCACCCCCCGTCCCCCTCAGCCGCTCCGGCAGCGCCGATCCCCGCCGGCCCGCGGAGGCAGCGCCGGCGGGGGCGGCAGCCGAGCCCCCCCGCCCGTACCTTGCCAGGTTGCCGCGGGGCTCCGCCGGGGTTCTTGCTGCCGCCGCCTCCGCATCCACCATGCTTTGTCCGGCCGAGGGCTGCCCTCGCCGCGGGCTCCCACCCGCCCGGCCCCGGCCTGCCGCCCCACCACGGCCCTCGCGGCTCCGCGCTGCCGCCCCGCTCCGCCGGCCCCCGCAGCAGGCGGGGATCCTGCACCTGAGGGCGATGCCGGGGCGGCGCCGAGGCGGCCGCGGAAGGGCTCGTCCCCCGTCCCCGCGGGACGGCGCGCACCCCGCCGCTGGGTCCTCAGGGCCGGCCGCGCCTGAGGTGCGCGCCTGCGGCGGCGGGCGGAGCGGAGCGGAGCGGGGCCGCGGCGAGGAGGCGGAGGTTGGCGGAGCCGCGCCCCTGAGGAGACCGCGCGGGCGGGCGGCCTGGTGCGGTCCGGCCCCGGCAGGACACGGTGCTCTCCCGCCGGCCCCGGCCCCGCCTCCGAGCCCCGGCTGTAGAACCGGGAGGTATTTACCGCAGAAAAGGTGTTCGCGCTGTTGGAGGAGCGAGGGGAAGCGGGTAGACAGCGCCGCGTTGCCGCTGTCCGCCTTCCAGCCGGCCCAGGTGCTGCTCCCTCCCTGTGGGCACGGCCCCACACCGGGCACCCTCATGGCGGTGGCCCCGGTGGCACCTGGCTCCTGAGGGCTGGTGACACCTGGCTCCTGAGCCCCGGTGGCACCTGGCTCCTGAGCCCCGGTGGCACCTGGCTCCTGAGTCCCGGTGACACCTGGCTCCTGAGGGCTGGTGACACCTGGCTCCTGAGCCCCGGTGGCACCTGGCTCCTGAGCCAGCTCTGGTGTGCTGGCAGCGGGCGCTGTGTCCCTCTGTGTGCACCGCGGGTCGCCGGCCATTCCCTTAGGACAGTTTTCCCTCGTGTTTTTTTTCCACACGGCCTCAAGCAAAAGGGGAAAACCGCGCAGCACTGCGGAGAAATGCCGTGCCACATCACTTTTTAATGTTTCTTCTTTGAAAGAAACATTGTTCCTTGCACCTGGCTCGGCTTTTTTGGAAGTCTCCAAAGCTTTTGTTAACGGATCCAGGAGGGAGAAGCAAAGGGGTCTTTCGAGCTGTCAAGGCTTCCCTTAGTAAAGAAGTTCGTGAGAATTTCTGATTTTGGAAATTCGCCTTCCAGTGATATTAAATCGTGCATGACTCATTCATTAGTAACCTCTTTTCTTGTTGTTGTTTGCTTACTTGGTTGGTTGATGAGCCTACCAATGCTAGCCAGACATCCCCGTGGAAACAAACCAAAGGAAACTCTCAGGAACCCAGGATGCTTACTGGAATAAAACATAGAAACATGTGCTGCTGCAGCAAAGAGGGCACATCTTGTCGTGGACAGATCAATAGCAACCAGCAGACAGATTTACAGCTCCCACGGACTGTGAACCTCTCAGCTTTTTGTCCTACACTGGATGAAAGCGAACACATGCCATTTGTTCCTATTTTTAGCACCTGCATTCTCAATCCAGTATAAGGAGAGGCCCGACCAAAGGAATTGTCTCAATGTCACCTGGCGCAATCACTTAAAAATTGTTTTCATTGCAAAGGGAGGGGTAAGTATGTCCCTGTGATCCATGAAAACACAGGTTATTCACTTCCATTTTACAGCACTCATTTCCACCAGAATTCAACAGCTGGTGTGCATAGCCCTAAAGACAACCAGTTTGGGAAACAGCGTCAGTACCCACTGCACATCCCCAGGTCCCCATACTCTGTGTGTTAAATATGGCATGCCAATGGGAAACCTGCTGCAAGTCTCTTGGAGCTGCTCTAAAATCTTCACTCGGGAGTCTGGAAGAAAAATCCCCATTCACAGTGCATTGGTAGAGACGTTGCACATTTTATCCCTCTTCAAATATTTATATATGTACTTCACGTTTGAGTAAAGCTGTCCTTTTCATCAGAGCAGGAAGATTACAGCAAAGGGAGGAATTACCCTAAATTGGCAAACATCATTGTCTATTAAGTAACACAAGGCTTTGAAAGGAGAATTGAGTGTCTGGCAGCCAGGAGCTTGGCTCCACTGCACAGGAGATTTCATAATGGTATGTTTTGAGATCAACTGTAAAAAAAAAAAAAAGAAAACAAAATCACCTAGAGCAGTGTATCCCATGACACTGGGTGCTAAGGAGCCTGGAAAAACACGTTGAAGCTAAAAGGGTTGGTCAGTGCTGAAATGGTCTGCTGCCTTTTGGGGAAAGACATTTTCCCTCCTCCCAGTCTCACACCCAGGCCCTGCCTGCTCCTCTGTAATCAGAACTGGTCACGGGGCTGCCTTTGGAGACCTTCACGGGGGGAGGTGTTTTAATCCAAATGTATTCCTTGATCCACTCAGCAGCCAGGCCTCAACAGTTGTCTGAAAGCAGGAAAATACCTAGAACCAGCACTGGCATTGCCCACAGCAATGCCTGACTGGGATGCCCCTGCTGTGCTCAGAGCAGCTGTGCCCTAAAAACCCCAGGGGAGGTGAGGTGGGGGCTCATTTTGCAGCCCTGCTCTCCCAAGCAGGCCACTCAACCTTCCCTGGATCCAAATCCATGCATCACACCAGGCAAAGTAAGTCCTAAGCCCCAGAGTGTTTCTTACCTGGTGCTGCCAATTTACAGGTCCCGGGTGGGGCAGGACAGCAGGGACCACATCTCAGCACAGATGTGCAACCTCTCCTGCATGGCTGCTTGTCCTGGGGTGAAACCAAGGGAGGCCTGGAAAATGTGTGGTTTAAAGTTGTTGTGCAGTTTGCTTCCATGGAAGAAGAAGCAGGGTTTTCATGTTTCAGGTCTGTATAGCCAAGTTTTGTGATAGACACAGCAGTAAATCATTGTGCCTTTTTTTTTCCCTCCTGAGAAAGAGAGCAAATCCTTTTGACGGCAGCAGCTTTAATTTGGTCTGAATCTGGAATAACATTTTTGCCTGTGTATTCAAAAGCACCACCTTCACTCAGCATCATGATGCAAATGATGAGATGCAGTGTACAGCCCTTGTCAGGGAGTTGCAGAGCGCCAAACATTTCCCAGGAGCTGGGTACTGGGAAGTTTCAGGGCACGAGTGTCACATCACTTGGTGACAAAAATTCTTGTTGCCCAAGTTTTTCTACAGGTAGCATGGCATGCTCCATACAACCAGAAAAGAGGACCTTTTAAAAAGATTCAACTCTTATTTTTTATCAAGTTCAAAATAGTTTCTGGGGTTTTGTTTGGTTTGGGTTTGTTTTTTTGTTGTTGTTGTTTATTTTTTGGGGGGAGGGTTTGGTGGGGTTTTTTTGGGGGGGGTTTTTTGTTTTTGTTTTTGTTTTTTTGTTTGGTTTTTTTTTTTTTTTTCCTGCCCCAGGCTATTTATTCACAGTATTTGGGTTCACTGTAATAAAAGCTGACCTGGGGACTGCTGCTTTTACATCAATGGAAGCGAGTTATGTACATTGGTCTTTTCTCTAGCATTTGCCTGTTAATTAATAATTGGTACATTGCCAGGAGCAAAGGAGAAGTAGGAATGAGACTCAGGTTATAAAATCTTCAAGGTTATCTCGCTGTCCCTGCAGCAAAGCAAGAGCGAGAGGGGCGGGACAGAGCCAAGGTGCTGAGAGAAGGGGACGGACGGGCTGTGGGCCACTCGCCCCAAGGCCATGTGCTGCGTTCCCGGGGGAGCCACATCCCAGCACTCCCGGAGCTGCCGGCACGTCCTCCCTCAGCGACGGGAGAGCAGCAGGTCCAGGAATTTCCCTGTCTGCTGCCGGGATTCCCGGGAACCTGCCTGCAGCCACCCTTGGGAACGCGGCTGGCCCGTCCCCCACTGCAGCGCCCAGCTGGGCAGAAACACGGAGCAGCTGCTTTCCCTGAGTCTGGCACGGCTGGCAGCCGCTGGCGTTATGGAAGTGCTTGTCCCGGAGGTCTCACACTGTACCCAGAGCATGCACCCACATCTCTCAGCCCTTGCTCCAAACCGTGCTCCCACCCCCCACCACGTGCTGAAAACGCTGCAGGCACACAGGTACTGAAACACCTCCTCCCCACTGTGAACACTCTCTTGGCTCTCCTGAGTCAAAACCCTTCCATAAGGACAGCTGGAATTAATTTTCTGAGCTGGACCAGTGCTTATCCAGGATACCGATCTGCCTGATATTTGTGGACAGATTGGTGTGGCTAGAGGACACTTGGAGAGCACAGGACAAACCCAAGCATGCTTCTGTGACCAAAGAGAACAAGAACAGGAGATAAGAGGCTAAAACTTAAATAATGACTAAAGATGAAGGATTTCTCCTGTGGCATGCAAGCACTTCAGCGGCCGTAAAAAAAAAAAAAAAATTAAAGAGCAAAGGTGACATGCAATTCAAGCTGGAGCATCTCAGTTCCTCAAAGAATGAACCTTGTTTTTCCCACCCAAATGTTTGAGCCTGGACTTCAGACAAGCGAAGAGCCTTTCCCAGGCTGGGCAGGGTCTGTCAGCAAGGCTTGCCAGCAACACGAGCACGGCATTTCAGTGGTCTCCTCACACAGTCATTTCCCCACCGCCTGCCCCTGCCACACGCAGGCCAGCCAGCACAGCAAGTGCTACAGAGGTCTTCTGCTCCACTTCCCTTTGCTTTTGTACCTTGGTGACATGGGGGAGCTGTGGCTGGCAGGTTCAGCTTTGGCAAAACCACTCAAGTCGAAGGGATTGGCACATATGCTTCAGAACACCACCTTTTTTTCCTCTGGAGCATTGCAGCTTTGCTCTTGCAGGCACAGCAGGACAGGACAGAGACCGTGGAAGGGAAGTTGCTCCTGTTGTGCTGTGTGCTGCCATTTGCAAGCTGTGGGCAGAGCTGCACTGTGCTGGTATTGATTCGTGTTTGCCAAGAATAATTACTCCTGAGCTGCTTGGATTCAGATCAGTTTCCCTGCTCTGGAAGGACGTACCTGCCTTTTTCAGACACAGGCTGCAGTAACTAACACTCTTTGCCTCCATGTGGGGGTTCCTTTTCCTTGCAGACACAAGGCAGGCACGGCAGTGCAGAGTGCAGGATGCAGAGTGCAGAGAGGATGGAGGAGAGTCCACTTGAAATTCAATTTCTATAGTAGCAGAAACTGGTCAATAATTATTTTACAAAAAACCAAAAAGGCACCTCCTCTATACAAACCATCTTTTTTTGTGCCCTGGAAACATGAGCTCCTTGCACCTCTCCTTACCTCTGTTCAGAGGCATCCTACTGTGTTTTGCAGCAAGACCTGAAGAGTTGCAGAACAGAAGAAGCTCTGGGTGAAGAGCCAAAATCACTTTTCTCCTTTGTTTACACCTAGGAAAAAGTGTACTGGACCCACTTCAGCTAAACTCCTTCTGCCTGGCTTTTA